ACCCCACCCACCCCCTCGTCAGGTCAGACTAACAAAGGGCCCAACAGCGCACAGAGGACACCAGCATGAAGGCATTGTTGGCAGACAGTGGCCTTGGGATGACGACGATTATGCGATAAACAGCATTGTTACACGGGAGATGACAATGTGAAGATGACGACGCGCACACTCACACACCAACACACACATCATGCATACACACACGCGCACGATAGAAGCTTCTTGTCAACACCCACATCCCGTAAGCAAATAACGCCTTTTGTCCGTTGTGACTGTACAAGTTACATTACATTGTCACAAACTTAGGACCTTGTGACGACGACTGTGCCGCCGCAAAAATCGTCACCCCTCCTTGTCTGGCCAGCCAGGTAAACTGCAAAGGGAAGGCCAGAGGCGCGAGGGGGGGGGGGGGGGGGGGGGGCTTGATTGACGCCCACGCCAACAGGACGGGCAGAACAGGGCAGCCAAGCGGATCAACCCCATTATTTCAACATCAAAATGCCCCCTCTACCCTTGGTAAACTCCTTCGGACCGGCGCCCTCCACCACCCCCCTCTGCCCCTTCTCCTGGTGGTCTAGGCGTGCACATTGTTTCGTTTGCAGACTAATTCATATTCAGACGGGGATTTTTGTTTCCTTCTCAAGTTGATGGATGGTGGCGTGGCGTAGCGTAGCGCGGCGGGTTGGTGGCGGCGCCGCGCGGCCCGGGTGCAGCCTGTGCAGCAGCGGGGTGCAGTGCGTGACGGGGCTCGTGGAATGATATCATTATCATGTCTGCCTCCACAACCCCCCTTTCTCTCTCTCCCACTCCTTCACCTCGGCACCAATTTCACAAACATGCAATATTTCTTGTGTGCGATTGTTACCACCAGCGGAGCCGCGGGCCCGCCAGGGCAGGCCCCAACGGTTTGGCGTGCGCCCCCCCCCCCTTTCCCGCTACCTCCCTGGCCCCGCCGCAGATTACATCCGGGGTGTTGCAATTGCCACAAAGCCCCAACGCACTACTGTTGCATGCCTTTTTTTGTGAATCGATCCACCCCCGCCCCTAATCAAAAAGAAAACTGAGCAAAAGCATATAAAACGATAGTCATTTGTAAAAATAAATAAAAATAAAAAAGAACCTGAAGTTTGTATTTTCCCGAACAGGCATTGCCGGCACTCACAAATTTAGGCATCATTATTATTTATCAGTATATTTTTTTACAATTTGGCCCTTTTAGAAGAGCGGTTTGGCTGCATCAAAAACTTAGCCCAAAAATTACAGGAACACAAGAATATTTCTCATTAAGAAGAAGTATGTTGTTTTCCTTTGCAGACCACACGGTGCGCGGCGCCGCCCCGTTGCCCACCACGCGACCCTCCTCCTCCCAACGTCTCCAAGTCTGACGCCTTGGCGGCGCCGGCCGAGCACACCTGGGCTGCCATAACACTTTTACCATCGGCGCGTTCATAATTCATCCACTTTGCGTGATGCGAGGAGGGGGAAGGAGGGTGCCGTGTGCCGAGTATTACGGTTTATATATAAATCGACCTCGTCGTGCAGCAATTTTCCAAAATGCCTTATCGCCCGGAGGAGACGTTAGCAGCAGCGGCGGCGGCGACCTATCGTTCACACTTCCACAAACACACACACACACGCGCGCGCGCGCACGCGCACAGAGGCTTTTCCCCCCTGCTTGCCCTCCTTCTCTCCCGACCCTCCGGTCCAACCCCAGGTGACAGGGTAATTGCTCTATTTATGACGTGCTGCACTTTCGTGACGGTCAGCACACACCAAAAGCCCCCGCGTCGGGCGGCGCCGCGCCGCGCCACGCCACTCCTCGGCGCGGCCTAAAATACACGGTATGGCTTTGCGGCGGTCGGCACGGAGGGGGCGGCGGCCTGGCCGGTCAGTACTTGGCACTCACGAAAACACACACATTACACATTGTTGGTAAAGTCGGACAATCGGCCATAAGGATGATTGCGGATAGAAAGAACGGCAAGAAGGAAGTCGAAGGAGTTATAGCTGTTATACAGGAAAACAAAAAGAACGACATTTGTTCAAAAGTGTTTACCGTGAAATGTGCTGCTTTTTTGTGGGCCCGTTGTATATATATTTCAGGGTGCAGCATAAAACGCTTAATATTTGTCGAATTCGCAACATTTTAGGGTGACTTCTGTGCGTGCTGTTTTTAGCACCAGCGGCGCAAACAGCAGTATCGCGGCGAGAAATCGCATGTGGATAAACAAAGACAAGTGTATGTGCACGCACGAGGGTGCAAATGTGTGTGTGAGATAGAGAGGGAGGGGGAGGGAGAGGGAGATAGTGAGAGGGAGAGAGGCAGGGAGAGGGAGAGAGAGAGAGAGAGAGAGAGAGAGAGAGAGAGAGAGAGAGAGAGACCACGCGAAAGCACACAAACACTCCCTACATGCTGAGTATGCAGCATAATGCACGCCGATACAATGCATTCTCGCCCACATCTAGTTAGTGATAAGGGGGTCCTACCTGCTAACTCAACATCCCCCTCCCTCGCCCATCTCACTCCACACCTCCC